CCAAAACGTGATTCAATTGCATCAAACTCGTATAAGTATGGTTCGATTTCAGTAAAATACCGATTTTTCTTCGTTTTTTCCCGTTTTCCCCAGGTTTTTTCGGTTTTCCGGTTTTTCTCCAAAAGTAACATCGAATATTTCGGTTTTCAAAAACATCGTTTTTTTTCGGTTTACCGAAAAACCGCCTCACCCTAGACATGCGCACGGAGCCAAGCTCGATAAGCTCAGAGCCGAGCTCTCAATAGCTCGGAGCCTCGTCTAAATAGTTCGGAGCCTTGTCCAAATAGCTTTTCAGCTGCTTTCTCTCTTCCAATATAAGCCTCCTTATTGTTGTGTTTTACTCATTTGCTTCCAAGCCGTCGAACAAAAATGATCAATTAATCTTCTAAGGCACAAGCCATTTCTTGAACTGCTGGACACGTTGGCCTGATATCTTGTGAAAATACATTTATTATTTTAAACCAAAAATATTACAGCTAAGACTGTTTGTTAAATTGTTCTACAAGTTTTTTCTCCAAGAGTTCTTGATAAGCTTTCTTATGATCTGCCTCAAAACTTCTAAATCGTTCACCAGTCGCCTTCACAGAATACATGTAACTCGGTGGGTAAGAGAAAAACGCTTCAGCTGCTGACTCGAGCGGATCTTCTAATCTCCAATAAAACAAATAGTTCAGTATATATTGTAGTTCGTGGTTCTCAGTGTTCTGACGTAGTTCCATCAGTGAATCGACAAACGTAGAATCTGGATCTTTTTCCAGTTGCTGTAAATGTTCGAGTACATCTCTCTCAATCCTCAGTTTAAGTATCCTCATTGCCTCAGCGAATTCACACCAAACCGGCCATACGCTTAGCATTCACTCGTTCGATCGCTTGTAAACCATACATTTGCCATCGTTCGTTTTCGTTCATCACGAGGCAGTCATGTTGCCCTTGACTAAGATGACCGACTTGACAACCATTACAGGATTCCACACAAAGTCTTTGAATTTCATGTGCGACTGCATTCGCATATATTCCTTCCAATAAATTGTATGATGCGGCTTTTCCATGCCGACACTCCATCGTATGACTTTCACAGCGAAATGATTCTCAAACGAATTTATACACATATATAGCAAGCGTTGTCTTTTGTAATGAAAATTCCGAGCTCTACTAATGAGTAATGACTGTTTCGGCCATTTGGTTCACCTTGAGAGCCTGCTCGCAGGCTACGTTCCAGTTATATTCATTTCACTGCCAGAATATATAACTCGATAAAGCATCCTTTTCAATATATAATTCCTTAGGGATATTTTGACATGCCAAATTAATTAAATGTTTTCCCTTATGCCGTAACAGATAATTATATATAACAGCTCCAAGTTATAATGATATGCCGAACGTTTGGCAATATAATATATTTTCTAGTAGTGATAAATGTATCAGCAACCCTTATCGTTCCTATATAATTCAACCTATTCAGGCCTAAATCCCTGTATCTCCTAAGTTTATTCAACATTATCCATTTTGTATTCAAGAAAACAAAAATTTTAAAAATTCCAATTTTTGTTATCAATTATTTTTTGTCTACAAAATGACAAAAACAATCGAAAGATTAAATTAGAATACTTTTACTTTTAACTGTATAATTTTTAATTCTTGAAATATATGTGGATATGTTATTGAACATTATACTTATTTAACTTAGCTAGGCTCAAATCTCAGAATGTGTTTTTTTGGCTGTCTTAACTCTTAAGGGTTCAATCCTGGCTGTATTTTAAACTTTTTATTACTGACCTTACGAAAAATGCACACATGATTTCACATGTGAAATTGTATATTATTTTTTATAATAGCATAGTTGCCCGGGTTTCTTTTGTTTCAACAGGGACGTTTAATCACGTATCGCCCGCTGTAGCGGGCGATTAGTTCTAATCGCCCGCTAGAGCGGGCGATTAGAACTAATCGCCCGTTACCAAGGGTCACACCTTTGTCTCCCTGACGACTACGCATTAGGCAAGTGCCTCACGCACATAATCGTGCAAGGAACAGCAGCGGTTAGCTCAGAGCCGTCAATAGTCTATCATCCGATTCCCGAGTTGCCGCATCATTTAAATTATGCACGTGCAGTCTTCAAATTTATACTAATATATTTAGCGTTGTTGTTGTGGTACGTTAAATGATAGATTGCGCATGCGTAACCGATTAAAGCGTAAAAAGTGCGCATGTGCAACAAGCTTTTACATCCCACAAGCAATGAAGCAAATGTTTTAGCTTAAATACGCTGATTCCAAGTAGGGCATGTTTGTCCATTTTTAAATGGGAGCGAAACTATGCTATTACAAACTAATAGCATGGCTTTTCGGGAGATTAGTGATTAAATGACCCCTTACCCTCGGCAGGTTTGCGGAATTCCCTCGGGCTTCGCCCTCGGGAATTCCGCAAACCTGCCTCGGGTTACGGGGCCATTTAATCACTAATCTCCCTCAAGCCATGCTATTACTTATAATAATAGCATAGTTGCCCGGGTTTCTTTTGTTTCAACAGGGTCGATTACTAACTAATCGCCCGGTCAAAGAGTAAAGATATAAAGAGAGTTCACTCGGTGAAAAATGCAGTGTTTAGGAAGTCACACGGATTTGCGAAGCTGACGCCATTTACACGCCATCAAAAGCAAATTAAATATTTCCCCCAAAAAATAATATGCCAGCAGCCAGTACCGTCGCTGCGTTTTCAGTCAAAACTATAGGGAAAACACAGTTCGAAATGCAAAAAGTGGCATTTTTAAGGAAAAGACGCTTTCGAGCTTCATATCTGGACAAAAAGTGGCCCGGTCACAGAGTAGATAAGACATACAGAGACGTAACTGACCGTCGTAAACACTGCGGAAGATTACGTTATCATGTACCCACCTTTTTCCAGGCGACCGGGCGAAAATGATCAACTGCGCGTGCTCAGCGAGTTTAAAGTGAGTCATCATCCAATCAGACGCATGCATCTAGTAACTTGCCGAGCATGCGCACAAAAAAGTGGGTACACTAGTTACGTCTCTGTATGTCTCTACTCTGTGGCCCGGTCGAGCGGGCGATTAGTTCTAATCATTCTCAATGCACATATAAAATCCATAATTCATATATTACATGCGTGTCTATATATGTAATCAAACACATGTAAAAAAGGATCCTGAAGCGTGGAGAGGGGTGATTCTATATCACTGTATAAAATTACTAATAATATCGCTGAGAATGTGTTTCACCCGTAATCGTGCATGTGTGTTGACATTCAAAACACAATATTAAATACTGTGTTCAATAGCTCTCTTTGAAAATAACTTGACAAAGTATGAAAGTTTTAAAGTCTATATAAATACCGGTTATTTTCTGTCACGTACTAAGTAAATAAAAATTACCTGAAGCCGGAAAGAGGCAGCAATCTTCCATGCAGGACATTTTTTCGTCCATATAGCTCCTTGAAGTGATTTAAACTGTGAAATGTCCAACTACAACTGTCTTTATAATGGTATATAGGTTTTCCCACTCCCATTTTGTGTCTTGTCATTCTTGAACATATCAGAGGCCTTTTCTAGGGAGATCACACCATCTCTGCGGAAGAAAACTTGCTCCACTTGTGTGTTGCCATTCCCAGTTCCAGTAACCCAAATCCCATTTTCCAGCCCAGAAATAGGCAAATACTAGTTCCATTTTACCCCTTCAGGACCTTCGTAAATGCTCATCAATAATAGAATAATAGAAATAAATCACTCACGAAATCTTCAATTCATAATGTGAAACGCTCATATGTGAAATAATGTTACACTATGTGAATTCGTCTATTCTCAGCGGTATCCCACATAATTTTAAATAAGTATCTCATTCTGATTTTACGCTGATCATGCATTCATTGTGCGATCGGATCAACCATAGTATAACACCCTGTTGGAAAAGATATTTCCGCTTGCTTTATTGCCCGTTTCTCCAATTCTTCAATCTTAGGTATATCATGCAGCATCTTCGCTGAGCTCAATTGCCAAACCTTCCATACTTACTTGAAGGATTGGGAGAACCGCTGTGAATGGCTAACCATTCGTATTTGAAGTTTCGATCTATGTCATTTTGCGTTTACAACAGAACTTAAGCCGGTTTTCCATGCGGAGCGGAATTTCTCTTTGTCTTTTTAATTAGTTGCACCCCAGAAATCACAAGACAAAGAAAAATTCCGCTCCGCGCGGAAAATTCCGCCTAGTGGGAAACGGCCTTTATGATTTCTCGGTTCGAACTAAGTAGAAAAGACAATTATAAAAAAAATTACCTACCGCACGGAAAATCCCGTCTAGTGGAAAACCAGCTTTAAAATGGAACTTTCCGTTGCTCTGTCAGTTATGTAAGTGGAAACTTTTAATCAATATTATACGTGACTCATATCACTGATCTAAGGTGACAATTCAATAGTGTTGTATAAAATAATATAACTATACTAATGGTTGCATGTTATGCGAACTTGAAAGTTGTGAACATGAATTCTATAGAATAATAAATACGAATATACTAGTATAGAAAATACTATAACTCCAACATTAAAGTTGCAAAAACTGTTTGTATAAATAGGCAAATATATATTTGATAGTTTCATAAGCTTGTATCACTACGTATGGCTCCTGGATTTTTGCCACATAGCATTCCTCTATATATACAGCAGGCACACCAAACTCAATTTATATATATATATATATATATATATATATATATATATATATATATATATATCATTTCACATGTGCATGAAACTTAAGTAAGAAAATATGTGATATATCACATATTTTCTTAGATGCGAAACTAAGTAAAGGTTTATAATTTATGTGAAAATTAATTGACACGTGAAATTTATATTGCTACTTCACATGTAAAAAGATTTTTCATATGTAAAATCATCACAAAATTTAAGATTGGGAACTATTGACCGTGAAACTACTTTGTAATTAGTGCATGAATGATGTTTTTGTTTAAAATGCAATTACAATTCAATCAACAAGCCTTGAACATATCACAGAGGATCTTTTCTATGGAGATCACTTCACCATCTCTGCGGAAGAACACTTGCTCGATCATCTTTGGGTTAACAGAACGAAGTAAAGGCAATGTAAGAAGTAGCTTTCCAAATCGAGCATTATCAGGCGATTTGACATGTGTTTGACAATAATCATTGAGGATGATCTGGGCTTGATCTTGAAGTTTCTCGATGTCGTGAGGAGCTCGTAGACCACGGAGATCTGAAAGTGCAAGTGGTTAATTATTTTCATAAGAAGGATGCTTTAATATTTTGACTTGTATTCTACTTACAGAAGCCGACATGGTATAACATGGTATAGTATAATTAATGATTATGGTATATTGCATGGTAAAACATAATTAGGTGATATGAAAATGTGACTGTTTGGTATAAGGTAGGGTTGTGCAGTACAGTTATGCGAACTAGAAATGTCTTTCCAATTCTGACAGTGATCACAAACATACCTGACTTAAATAGTACAACTGCTTTCAAGCATGCGTATTCAACTGCATTAATCTGTAATTGATGAAAGCGAGCAACAACATTCTGTAATGTTCTGATTTCTTTAACGAGTTTTGAGGTGGATGATTGACTTGGACTTAGATCTGTTGCTGAAATCAATGTAGTCAGATCTACCGGCAGGAAGTAGTGAACAGCATTGAGCAGAAACAGCTCGCTCCAAGCTTCTTCAAGCAAAATAGCTTGATCTCGGAATGGTAAATCCATGAACATCGGAATGTTGCGTGCCCAACTCACGGACATGTAAAGTAACTGTATGGACGAGTCGTAGAGGGAAAACGAAGTGGGTGGGCACAACTCAGAATGTACGCTTTGTTCGCTACAAAAACCAAAATTTGGCACTGCAGATGTGTTATAGCTGTGATTTGCTTGGGTACTCATCCGTTTTACTTCACTGCTGTTGTCGTGGTCGTTAATATTGTTCATGTTCGTCTCAATGACTTCATTTTGATTTTCATTGCTGTTTTTGCTGTTATTCTCGTCGTAATTAGTAGAACTCTCCCCTTCGGTGCTGCTGTTCGATATTTGAAAATTCTCACTGTTTTTCCCCGTATCATGTTCGAGGTATTGCATATTTTTATTGCTTTTATCAAGCTGTTCCATATTACGCTTCTCGCTGGTAACGTCCAGAACGTCACTTATCAATTTGCTATCGCCATTGGTCGTATCATTACATGACAAATGGGGTTCGTCCTCATCTTTTTTCGAGTGAGAATCAAAATTTGAGAAAACGATGTCTGCGCTGCTTTCAAGTTCGTTCCACTGTTCAGGAGATATTGGGGAGGAATATGGCGAGTTTGGTTCCGAACTGAGTTGTTCTTTTTCGTATTTCACTTTGGAAATCGATTTCTTTCTCCGTTCTCTTCGGCCTTCCAAGCTCTTCCTTGCCCCTGTAAATGAACCTTTGCCTTTGGAGATTGATCGTGGGGCTCGTTCGTGCTGCACAGCTGTATAAAATGAAAACGAAATTGTACTACCGCTATTTACCACAATTTCTTTATTAAATAAATAAACCAATGATGTAGGTCACCGATAATCCAAAATAACTATAAGCTAATCAAGTTGGATACCCAGTTAATGACTGGTATTAGTAGATTATTTATTTTGTCAAATTGGAAAGCTAGACACCTATCATATGCTAATCTGGAAGCAAGGTATTCCTATAGTACATGCAGTTTGGTTGAAATAGGATAACACATACCTAACTCAAGTAATAGAAATTCGTTAAGCTAATTATAAAAGTATTTCTAGATTCACTTTGTTAGATCCTGGGCTGCGATACTGAACACCTACAGCCTGTCGCACACGAGAAAAACTTGCGTGGCGACTAGCTCACCATGTTCCTCTCGTGTGCCCACAGTTTTTCTGAGGATTTAATCCCTTGAGGCCTTGATGAAAATATCTATCGTGTTTCATATTTTTCCAACTCGCGAGGAAAAAATCCCAACGTCTGCGGATTTTGCGAGCTTAGTGCAGAGCTGCTTTAATTAACTTGCCAACGAGAACCCATAGTTTTCCGTGACGTTGGGGAAATTCAAACGATCTTATCAAAGGTGTTGCTGTTCAGTAGTTTTCCCAATGTGTGCGGTGAAAATGCATAGCTGAGCTGCTCGCCATTCGTGGCGTTAGCTCAGTAAGTTTCTTTCGTGTGCGGTAAGCTTACCATCTGGGTTCATCTGTACTTCATAACATTTCTTCAGTCGGCATGCTTGACACTGGTTACGTCTGCTCACGTCAACCACACAGTCGCTGAAATTCTTACAGTTGTAGCTGAGGCTTCTTCTCACGCTTCTCTTGAAGAAACCACGACAACCATCGCAGGTGAGGACGCCGTAGTGTTTCCCTGAAGATCGATCTCCGCACACCTTGCATGAACTGCGGGACTTTACACGGTCTGTAACAAGAAGATGATTTTAAAGTTTCAATCTGTATGTTGACTAACCCACGCCTAAACGCAGAGCTGGGGTGAGGGGCGTGTGAGATGCAGTCGGCCCGCCTCCCCAATGTCTTTCTCAGTGTAGGTTAATATACGTTCTAATCCGATGAAACTTTGGGGAGGGGGAGGGGAAAATTCCCAGCAGACAGTGTTGAGTACCTTGCGCGCATCTACTCATAGAATCTACTGAATTTTGTTCTACTATATAAAGCTCTATCCGACTATCGCCTGTATTCTAGAAGCACACTCACGCTCACACTTGAGTGGCATTCCAGTGAGGAGCATTCAAGACTTCAAGTGGGGTTGAAGGGTAAGTTTGAGTGGAGGGAGAGTGCATTGTTGTACTCATTGAGCGAACACTCACACTCAAACAATGTTGCTTGATTTGTATTCACCAAGCGCACTCAACTGTCACTTACTGGAGTTGCACTCGCCTTTGTTATTGATGAGTGCGGAGGGAAGACGTATTCTCGACACATTACACATAAAGTATAGACGTGTGCAAGATTTATTTATTTTTATTTTATTTTACAATCTTTGTCACATGACCGGTTTAACCCACAGAGCTAGTTGCTCCTTTACGGGTAACCTGCTAATGCAATACTGAAATATAGGTTAACACAGTGGATATATCGCTTCAAAATCGCTAATCACTGAGACGTTTGATTTAATGTGGTCCTGAGCAATTCTAATCATGTGGATCGAAAAAAGGAATTTAATTTAAATTTCACATGCTCACTAACAAAGTTATATTTTCACTGGGTTAACAGCAACTATTGACAACACAGTTTGACAGAAAGACTGCACAAGGGACGACACAAGTGACACTTTACACACACTGTTTTAACGTTTGTGGAACGTTCATCAATGTCGTAGACCTCTTCAACAAGTTTTTGGTGATATTTAAATAGGCCGCATTTAAATTGACTGATTGAGAGATTTGACTACCGTAAGTGTGATGGTAAACAGTTAAAAGTCCTGGGTGATCCGCAGTAATAACTGTTCTGAAATGTTAAAGTGTTTACTCTAGGAACTTGTAATATAATTTTTGCTGTTCCATCATTTTCTCTCGTCAACCGATCTGTTGTCTTTACATGGATATTATGGTCATTAGATAGAACTAACGCATTGTAAAGGTAGACCATATCCAGGAATTCATGCCAGTATGTTAATGGTACGTAGTAAACCACTTTTGACAAGTCTATCTTTGTATGATACTCCTGACAAGAATGGCAGTGATAAAATGTATCTGGTGGCGCGACGTTGGACGTTTTCTACTTGAAGGATAAGTGATACCGACTGTGGTGACCAACTTTGTGTGCAATATGCCATCTGGCTTTGCACCATTGTCTTGTAAAGCGCAAGGCAGGTTTTCTCGTTGCGAATATCCATTGATGATCTTTTAATGAAGCCGAGCATTTTGCTTTCTTTGGCACATACCATGGACACGTGCTGGTTCCATTTCAAATCGGATGTGATGATCACTCCAAGGTCTTTCTGGGCATTGGTTCTCTTGATGGGAGTGTCGTACTTAAGGTGGTAGCTCGACGGCACTAGCTTCAGATTTCTGGTCACCGAAAGAACTTCACATTTCGATTGATTCAGATCCATCCGCCACGATTCACACCAATTGTTAATACCATCAAGGTCTTTTTGAAGATATTGTTCATCCTTATGTGATCTAACTGGACGATAGCATTTAGTATCATCAGCATATAAAGCAAAAAGAAAAAGATGAAAAGAAAATGTCCCAACCCAGGAGGTATTTTTCAGAATTGGAGAAGTCAATCATCAGAGAATTAGTTGCTAAGCACAAGGATATCCTTGAGAGTAAAAAGAAAAATTGCAAAATGATTAAACAAAAAAATAGCGCTTGGAAAACGTTAACAGAAAAGTTTAATTCTCAAGCGGGTGTTTATATTAAACAAATAAAGAAATGCTTGGAAAATATCAAGTCTCGAGCTAAGAAATCTATCGCCAAAGAAAAGAGAAAAGTGAAACTAACTGGTGGTGGTATGGCCTCATCGGAAAGGGACGAAGGAGCAGAAGCCGTTGTTTCAATAATTCCAGATCAAATGACTATAGCCTGGACAATGCTTTTGACGATGATAATTATGAAGTTGGTAAGAGATTTTGTAGTACCGAACGAATATACTGTGCAATGTACTGTACTATATCATGAGGCAATGATTAGTATGGAAGTTGCTGCTAGAGATTAGAAAAAACAACCTTCTGGAAGAACAGAAGAGGAAGGTGCAGGTCCTTGATTCGGGATTTGAATACTAGAGTTCTACAAAACAATGCAGAGTTAATATACATGAAGAGCCTCCGAAGCGTATTACACGATAAAAGAAGTCGATCAATCGCCTTTAGAGGGGTAAAGCAATGAAACATGGCAATCCTAATCTTTGATACAAATAACTATTAAACATCATATCGAATACTTTATGAGGTCTTATGCATACAATTATATTGATATGTACAGTATTGAACGAACGTATTAACAAAAAGAGTATATAATGCAAAATTCATGTGAATTGTTTTATTATCAGAGCACGACGTGTCGCGTTTCCCAAGGATTGTACCTGCAGCTTGTGTATAGCAGGCGCAGGATTCTCATCGGCATCTTCCAGGGGTTCGTCCTTAATGGGATTGGGTGTGGGTCCACCAGTGGCGTCATCAAAAATGGTGGACAAGGATAGCCATTATCAACAAGAAGCATTCCTTGGATGTGACCATGCTCGAACTGGGCACACAAACGACTGTTTTGACCATCGAACAATTCTAGATTTGGTGCTGAAACTGCTTGAACATTGACTGAAAAAAACCCTTTCGATTCCTAAACAGCCCTGCGTTCTCACCTCCAGGGCATGGGATTTTTATATGCGTACAGTCAATCATCTCAACAACGTTTGGAAATGCACATATTCTCCAGACGTCTAGCCTGCGTGCAGGCCCAAGAGAACTGATAGTGGGCCTGCAACCATCGCCCGGTATTTTGTAAAACGCCCCTTTTCATAACACGCCCCCATTCGCGCGTCAATTGTCAAAAAAGAACCAATGACAGCACCCAAATATTAACAAACAAACTCGCATTGAAATGTTGCGGGGTTTTCTCTGCTTATTCAGAACACTAATAAACAATGTGTAAATGGCTGCGTTTTAACTCCAAAAAAGCAAGCAACGCAGTCAGTAATTGCCAAATTTACAAGTGCTCATTTTCAACTAAAATCGGAACAGGCAAATTAGGACGAATTTCAACACAAAACCAGTCTCAAACTTCAAATCATGAGGGAAGTCGTGCGACCACATTAGGATTTATATTATGTGTGCTTCGCTGTCGCCATTGGCATTGTTATAAATAAATTGTCTCACTTATCAGATCGTGTGTGCAATTCTTGTTGGCGGCGGAAAGTACGAAATTTATTTCATTTATTTCATTTGGTAAAGAACTCTACAAAAGAAGAGAGCGTTCAGAGTCCAGATCGTTTCGTTTCAAACGGCAATTTAATACCGTCTTCTGTTTCGTTCTCTCAGCGAAGCCTTGTTAGTCGCAAAGTGTTTCGAATAGGCTTACAGTCCTTACATGCAACTGTATCTCAACATCAACCAAAAGATAATTTTCTTGAGGAAGTGAGAAGTCTGAGAACACATAACGTATCAACTGAAGTCTGTTTGAAATTAATGAAACTCAAGTAAAGGTTACTATAGTTTACCCCAGTCGTAATTTGCTATTCCAGCACCTCACGACAAGCAATCCCCATTGGCATAACTGCAAAAACATGTCTTCCTTCAAGTAAACAATAAACAGTCTGTTCTTGTTCCATTTGTAATCGAAAAAAGTGATCAATTTTCAAATTTTAAGCTTATCGGGAGCCTTTGTCTATGCCTTTGTGATGAATCACTGTTCTTTATTCTGTGCCTTGGGCCTGCACGCTAGGTTAATTAATTACCGATCGCCTCAGCTAGCCAATGGGAATTTAGCCGGCGGTTCGGCCGGCGAAAATCGAAAACATGGGGTGATGGTTGCAGGCCCACTATCAGTTCCCTTGGGCCTGCACGCAGGCTACCAGAAGTCAAGTTTAATTTGTGATACCAATTAAATCAGCCGCGGGGAATTGAATATAATTATTTTTAAGGGAGCAATTGCCTCAGATACTCGTTTAATAATTCGACTTGCAGACGGTTGAGGTTTGTCACAGAGGTCTCCACATGCCAGCTGAAACGTAGGTTGCATAATAACGTAATGTCAATAAAAGCTTTATGTCCGCAGGAATTGGATTACCTCGTAAATCATGACCAGATATAGCTGGCCCTATTATGTTTAAGATCTCCCGAAAACCATCTTTTGTTAATCTAAAGCTGATTCGAAATTGTGCCTCGTCATACATTTCATAGTTGAAATTGAAAATTCTATTTCAGTTTGTATTATTGGGTGGAATATTGTTCGAATGTTGTAGTCTGTTAAGCCATACATTCGCCGTGTTGGTCATCACTACTTCACGTATGTATGGCTCAAGGGAGGTATACCCTACGCTGAAACTCCACTCAATTACTCAAACTCGACCTCTATTTCGAGGGTGAGTGCCGTTTGTGAATTGTCCGAGGGTGAGTGTTGTTTCCCACTCATGGAGAGTCATTACAGACTCATTGAGTTCTGAGTTACACTTACTGAGAATGGGGTGCCACTCTTTGAGTGTAAGTGCGCTTTTAGAATACAGGCGTATATCTTTATGCGACCATGTTACTGAACTAAATTGTCAAGTGTCCTGAAATCAACACTGTTAAAAGGTGGTTCATTCAGGACTTTACATTTTTCTCCAAATGCCTCAACAATGCATGAAATGCCATTTGAGAAACCCAAAATTCACTCAGCCCCCTCCCAAATAAAATCCTTGCGCGGCGCCGCTGCTGCATGCTTGAAAGAATTAACTACAATTACAATTACTAGTTGCTTCAAAAGGGTAATTAATTCTTAATTACAATATCTGTTTTCAAAAGAATTAAATTAATGTCGACATTTACAAAATTAGGCTAACCTCAGAAAAAGGTAATTATAATTACAGACTATACATTTTTAAATGTGGATCTTGTGCCAAATGTACAATTTTGCACAAAAACAATGATCGAAATTATTCTTTTTACTTTTATACTTTAATGATCGAAATTATACTTTTCTTCTATAATCATTAACCAAAATTGGCACATATTTCACGGAAGAAAGTAACAATTTAACGGTGAGGGCATGTACTGAGACATCGGATGGCCATTAGGCCATAGGCTACGGAACTGAAATAACTCATTACATTTGGATAGTTTTTCTTGATGATAAGTAGTCGGTTACGTTTATTACAGGTCAAAATTACAACAAATGTAAAGAAGAGCCTGCATGGCAACGCGTTACAACGGTAACGAGCTAGAATGCCTATAAACGGTCGTCAATCAACATCAAAAGAGCTGCAAGATAGACTATTAGACTATTTGCAATAGAAATCGTTCGAAAGTATAATGCTGGTGTTCCAGCGGAAGGAATCGAAGAACAAAGACCAACAAAGTTCTGCAATGTGATTGGCTAGCGAAATAGTTTGCCAAGAGAAATGGCGACTGCCGACTGTCCAACTTTTTGTGACCAATTCTTTTCCCTTAACCAATCATAATGAGGAGATTTCCAATTTTTCACTTCATGATCATGCACATGCGTAGTATATTGAATGTGAAGGAAGGTGTAATATAAAAGCACCTGAATTAATTCTTCTTTTTCTAAGTATCATGCATAAAAATTATAGAATTGTATTTCTCAAACACTATTCAATTTGTCATGCAGATGTCAAACGCTGTGATATCCCTATCGCGAACAGCTTTCCACTGCAGAGTTAACATTGAAGTACTAAAATTAATTAATATACCATGGCTTTGTTCATACAAGTGTTTTAAATTATCTCGTTGAATTTCTTCCAAAATCAGTTCGCATGAAGGGCAGACTTGCTTGTCAAATGGAACAAACTAAGCAATTCTAGTAACATCGGCACAATTTTGGTAACATGCACTTTTAATTAATCACAACATCATTTAAAACGTTTTAAATCTTATTTATACCATAAGAAGCAATGTTCTGTGCAATCAAAACATTGTGACCGCCAATGGCAATGACGCGCTGCAGCAGCTGCACATAAACAGATTTCAGTGACGGGTATTATACCTACTGAAAAAACATTTAAAAAGCGAAAATTCCAACATTTGGGAACTAAATAAATTTGTGGCGATAATTTTTCTCAGTTACACTCCATATCCCAATACGTAACGAACAAAGCACAGTTATATGTATGTGCAATTTAGTGCACGACTTCGATCACGAGCGCGCGTCAACGCTTTTGAATGCGGAATCAAATCTGTCAAACAAATAAATATATGTTGTTTTAAAATTATGATGCCACTGTGTTTATACGTACTAGTTTATCGCTATAAGGTATTCGCTATATATCAATTTCATAGCAAACATATATACAACTACTGTATAATTACGTCAAAAATTATTTTACTCCTGCAGTATCAAAGCTATTTGGGAACACCCAAAAAAGATCATAGCAAATTGGCGATTAAATTTCATGTTCTTCAAATCAGATAAGCTCCAATATGCACGCGAACTCAGTTACATTTTCTTTATATCTATGTAATATAACACACACCACACAAAGATGACCGACGCATGAACATATATAAGCATAAGATCTATTTTATACCTCACATAGCTATAGATTTAATAAAGCGTGAAGCTAATAAACATGTCTTCGTATATATAAAGTCAAAGATATACGTCTATTAGTAATATACAGCAAAAGATGTGTAAAAGAATGGCTACCTCGTTTTGGTACGAAATTTCCCTCTGCGCTCATGGTTCAACTAATTTCCTTCAGTGTTTGATTGCGAGATTTTCACAGGAAAATATTTAGTAAGCTCACGAACATCTACGGATCAAGCTTAAAACTTCGCCTTCGTTCATACAGCTAAATTTTATATATATGCAAACGTTTGATGACAGTACCTGTTCAAATGGCAGGTAGCGCTCGAAATCAATTGCCGCAATTGGCTGTTGAATAGGCCCACTGTTAAGTAATCTACCCTGATTGGTCCGGGTTTTTGATCTTTGCGTGCTAAAAGCTACTTTGATGGCGCGGTCAGAGGTATCGTGGGTGAGCTCGGTATAATCCTACGCTTTTTAAAATTTTACCCCTTCCAAGCAACTTCATTTAAATGAATAGCAATAGTTCACCCGGTGCATTATATCAAACGCATGCAGGTATCTAAATTAAAATAGATTACAGAAGCATATATGATAGAACAAAAGTACTGATAGGCATTAAAATTATCTACATGAGTGAATGACTCCACATAATTCTAATGCTTCTTAGTTCATCTGTTTAATTCTATACCGGTATGCTTCTGTAAACTAGGACAATTAGTAACTATATAGGCATGCGAGTTATCTAAAGTTGGGAATGGAGTATATATAGCAATGATGTAAACAATAACGCGTTAGCCAATTTAAAACATTTATATATGACTAATTTGATCTCAAGAAGACGTTTTATTCACACTTCCACTTGATGAACATACCTTTCGGGTTTATCACTATTATCACTCTTATAATAGTTACTGTAATTAAAGTTATTCTGCGCCCACTGATGGCAATTTTCCATTGCAGTCGCTTTACCCGAACGGGCGAAGCGAACATAACTCAACTTTCTCTGTACGATTGTCTATCCTGTGCATTTTTTGTCCGCCTGCATGCTCGCGGACACGCCATGAAAGTAGAACTA